GCATTCTTTGCATTTATCTTGCCGTGTCGCTTGAGCTGGCAAAGGCAAAAAAAACCTTTCACTGATGGCAATTTGATAAAAAAATGTGCTGTTGAAATGGCCAAAGCTTTCGCTGATTCTAAAATGGCGGAGAAATTTGAATCAGTGCCACTTTCACATCAAACCATACAAAGAAGGATTGTTGCTATGGGTGAGCAAGTAGAAAAATCTATGCTTAGCCTGATTAAGAAAAGTTCATATTTCTCACTTTGTTTGGATGAAAGCACTGATCAAACCCATGTTAGTCAGCTGTTAATATTTGTGCGCACTTAATTTGGTGATTTTACCAATAAAGAGGAGTTATTTGATATTTGTTCTCATTATGGAACAACAAAAGGAAAAGACATCTATGAGACTGTGAAGAACACAGTTGACAGAAGTGGAGGCTTTGATAAATGTTCAGCCATAGCAACAGACGGGGCCCTATCAATGACAGGTAAAAAAATTGGATCAGTGGGTCTGCTTCGAGAGAATGGTGTCACTTGCCCAACAATTCATTGTATTATCAGGGAGCTTTATGTGGAAAATCAGTGAAGGAAGATCAAGTTTTCCAAACCGTGATTAAGATTATAAATATGATTAGAGGTGGGAATCGATCTCCTTTACACAGGCAACTTAAGAAGTTTTTAGTGCAAACAGAGGCTTAGTATGGAGACTTGCTAATGTATAACCATGTAAGGTGGCTGAGTGCAGGAAAGTGCATGGAACGATTTTTTGCCATAAGAAAGGAAATCCCTGCATTCCTCAACAAATACGTTTCATCTGACACAACTGAACTGGAAGAGAAGTTTAAGGATCCAGAATTCTTAAGACAGTTCGCTTTTATAACAGATCTGACTAATCATCTTAACATGCTAAACTTGAGTCTTTAAGGAAGAAACCAGACGGTTTCAGATTTGATCGGAATGATAAACGGATTCCGGAATAAGCTGAACGTGTTTAAACTTGCTTTGGAAAAGAACAACCTGTGTATCGACAAGACTACCAAAGAGAATTGAAGTAATATTGTAAAAATAATACTTCACTCAACTATGGGAGCTTATCGTCTATACCTTGCCTAGCTCAGTATCTCAAGGGTGAGTTCGTCTTGTCTTAAAATAGGAATCGAACCTGAGTTCTCAGTTGATAGCAAATAAAACAAATTTTAACCAAACATATTTATTTAAAAGAATAAAACAAAGCAAAGCAAGCAATAAAATATATCAGGCTATGATTCAGCCGGTGCTGACGTATGGGTCAGAAGTGTGGGTCTTTAACAAGAATATGTCACAAAAACTCCTCTCAACGGAAATGATGTACTGGAGAAGATGTTCCGGGTTAACTTTGTTTGACCACATAAGAAATGAAAACATAAGAGAGAGAATGAAAGTAAAGAACACAATAATGGATACGATATCCGAAAAACAATTAAAATGGTATGGACACCTGAGACGGATGAACGAAGAAAGGATACCACGAAAGGTTTGGAACTTTAGACCTACACAGAGAAATAAAAGGGGAAGGCCAAGAAAGAAATGGATATCCAATATTCATATAGAAATGGAAAATAGAGGTCTTCAAGAAGGAGACTGGGTCGATAAGAAATTATGGCGATTGGGATGCGAGAAGCGACAAAATTAAAGTTGCAAACACTCGCTATATATATATATATATATATATATATATATATATATATATATATATATATATATATATATATATATATATATATATATAGAATAAAACAAAAACAATAATTAACCCTGCCAAAGCTTAACAATTGATGTAATACTTATTGCTTCGTATGATGGGCTACTTGTGTGCTCTAGCTGCTAGGTCCTCCAATTGAATGTTGCAGTTCTGGAGAGCTGCAGTTACATGTGGTCCTGTGTTCTGATTAAATTGTCCAGTAGAAGTCCAATAAAGCCAACAACGTTGTCAATATATCAATAAATCCAATAAATAAATGCCAAATCAAATTGTTTTCTAACAACAGCCAATACATTAAATGTTCATCGGAACTCATTTTCGATGGTCGGGCGTAAACTGAACGAGTATAGGCACTCACGTCGGACGACGTCGGATCGAAAATCGGCCTATATCGGTTCGGATCGGGAGAAATACGGTTCCAATATAGGTGTACCCTTAAACGACACTCAGTCCTAACTGCAACACGCAAGAGTCTCGTAGGCTTAGTCTTGTTCTTGCGTAAATCTTGCACGGTCAGTCTTGGTCTTGCGAAAACTGATTGATTTAATTGAACTAATTGATCATGAGTATCTAATAATCAGTAGCGTCTCAATCTCATAACAATATCATTCATAATAGGTATTGAGTTTCCTTTCCAATCTTTCTTTTAGTTATTATTAGGTATTTGGGCACAGTGTGAAAATTGTTTTGTAGTTAATAAAGTTTGAAAGAAAAATGGCATCACCCAAAAGTAACGTTTGATGCCAACTGTGTTGGTCTGAATTCGGCTTTATATGCAAACTACAGACATAATTAACGATTATAGCTTCATGGAAAAAAAAACTTTACAGACATGTAAAGGATAATTCTAAGGATTCATAAATGTTATAATTTGTAACAATATACTTACTTAAATTTTCTTAATCATTTATTGAAATACAATGTACCTACTGGTAGAACTATCATTGTTTCGAGAAACACTTTAAAGAAAGAACATCAATTACAATAATTGTCATATTTTATGTTAGGTACAATATTTCAACTACATATTTATAAAAATAAAACTGAAAAATAAGTAAAATAAAAAATTAAAACCAAAAACGTAGATCCGTTTCTTTTCACAATTTTAGGTAGTTTCTTAGGGCCAGTTTTTTTTAATCATTCTGTTTGCATGAGCTGGATCCGTCGAACAATTCTTATAGATTAATTCTTTATTAAGTTTGGTTGCTACCTTTTCTTTATTAGCTTCGTTGCGAAATATTTTAATATTGTTTTCGTTTGGTTTGTTCCAAAATGCAATTGTGTTTTCGAAGCAGTTGTTAGATATTTGAAATGGTGTAATTAACGCCGTTGCTACTGTAACAAACGCTGGTCACCACTCTAGGCTTACTGGCTCAACTAGTCTGAATGGACGTGATTTCTCCCTCGCGGATTTACAAGAGGGTAGGGAAATATTTGGCTAGGGGATGAAAGACGTCCAGATTTCAGGCCCTGTAAAGAGTTAAAAGTGGATTTTCACAGGTCCGATATCCGACGGTACGATGATACGATATAAATTTCAGCGAATTTCATTGGTTGAAAAATGACAGGTGGGATTTTCGTACGAAATTAAAAGTCATCGGAAGAAGTTAAAAATATTTTAACTTTTGCACGAAAATCGGATGAATTTTGACATTGTTGACTTTTAACTTGAACTTTAACCTGACTTTTGTGGAGTGTTTATGTTTACTATTTGAAATATATTTAAAATGGAACAAAGACCTAATTATTATGTAAAAATGCAATGAATAAAGTGTTGCTTTTGTGTCTTCTACACTATGTGAGGCAAAAACGACGAAAAAGTTGCTCAATATAATATATATTTTATCAAACAAAACAGCTAACATTTATTGATAGTTCATTGAAATAAATATCAATCCATCCAATAATCTCACACATATATATGACATATATGTCAAAAAATTTCGGATACAACAATCAAATATATTCGTACGAAAAAATTTCGTATTTCGTGTCATCTGATATCGGATCTGTGAAAATCCAGCTTTAGAGTCTATGGGCTTGCTTTAGAAGCCGGAGAAATGCACAAAGCAAAAATGTGCTCTCTTCTAGTCGCTACCTGTAAACGGCCGGAAGAACAAAAAAACAAATTTCAAACTTACTATATATTAATTAAATTATAAATCTACATCTAAGACAACAAAATATACGATATAAATAATTATTATTTTATCGAAGTTGCGAAGAGAGACGAGAAGAGACTTATCAAGAAATATAAAGGGTGGACAATCTACGATTATATTGTATTCCCCCTGGTTAGTTTTTATGTTTAGTTACCTTAGCGTATTTAGGTCCTAGCTAAAGAATACGCCCTTGTAGTCCAACTGGAACTCAGGAACAGTCTGCTGAGAGTACTGTACGCTATCACGTTTTCCCGAGAGACGGAAAATTCGATACTTACACTGTACTTCGTTCCCGTCGGATGTAATACCGCGTTAACGAAGTTGAACACGCGGGTCTGGTCGCCGAACACTACCGGTGCCTAGCGCTTACTGGACACTACTGCCCGTTGACCAATTTCCTTCGTTTTTTATGAACCCGTACCCTCAATTACAATCACAGTACCGAGGCTACGCCTTACTGTCTCTCCACGTGCTAAAAATAGATCATACAGTGGTGTGGCTTGCTAGCTCAGCTCAATTCTCATTGCTGGTATGTCGTTTTGTATTTGTATTATTTTTCAACGAAGGTCTATGTTTTCGTTATTTTTAAACATTCGGAGCGACCTGATATCCAACTTGTGTAATACACGTTAAACTAGGTCGAATTTTCATTCTTTGTTTAATTTGAATGTATACGTTAAACTATGTCCAATTGTTTTTATTCTTTATTTAATTTGGAGTATATAATAATTATTTCATTAATTATTATTATTCTTTTCTAGGCTAACTACCCTTTATTTTGTTTCCTTTATTTTCTTGCTATGTTGACTTGTTACATACCGGGCTATCAGATTCATGATTGCGCTTGGGGGTAAGGTTGTTTCCTTTGGGTAAGGGGCTGATACATTACAATGGTAAAGTCGCATTGACACATCGACTAGATTCATTTCATTACTCAGAGAGTTTTGTTACTTAACAGACTCGAAAGATTAGCTTATTGAACTTTGATACATTATTTAATTTCAAGTCGCGAAGTTCGGCGGGTCACCTAGTTTTAAATAAAACAATTGATTCTTGTATTCATCTTCCTTTATACTCAAATATCTATATTGTAGTTGGTTTGTATTTTAGGTTATCTCCACGACGAATACAAAAAGGAAATTATGGAGTCCCTAATTGAAGATTCATCTCACAAAGGAAATTATACTAGTCTACACTCTGAAGGAAAGACATTAAATAAAAATATGAAAGTTCCGACTGGACAAAGACCTTACAAGTGCGAAATTTGTTTTAAACAGCTTTCTCACGTAAGTTCTTTGAAAAAACATTTGAGAGTGCACACTGGGGAAAAACCTTACAAGTGTGAAACTTGTTTTAAGCAGTTTACCCAAAAGAGTAATTTGAAAAAACATTTGACAGTGCACACTGAAGAAAAATCTTACAAGTGTGAAATTTGTTTTGAACAATTTTCTCTGAAAGATCGTTTGAAAAGACACATTATGACACACACTGGAGAAAAACCATATAAGTGTGAAATTTGTTTTAAACAATTTTCTCAGGCAGGTAGTTTGAAAATTCATTTAACAGTACATTCTGGGGAAAAATCTTTCAAGTGTGACATTTGTTTTAAACAATTTTCTCGGGCAGGTCATTTAAAATATCATTTGACATTGCACACTGGTGAAAAACCTTACAAGTGTGAAATTTGTTTTAAACAGTTTGCTGACAAATATTTTTTCAAAGCACATTTGAGATTACACGCTGGGGAAAAGGCTTACAAGTGTGAAATTTGTTTTATGCAGTTTTTTCACGAAAGTTCTTTGAAAAAACATTTGAGAGTGCACACTGGGGAAAAACCTTACAAGTGTGAAACTTGTTTTAAGCGATTTTCTCAGTCAGGTTGTTTAAAAAAACATTTGGTAGTGCACACTGAAGAAAAATCTTACAAGTGTGAAATTTGTTTTAAGCTGTTTTCTCGGGCAGATTGTTTAAAAACACATTTGAGAGTCCACACTGGAGATAAATCTTACAAGTGTGAAATTTGTTTTAAACAATTTTCTAAGGCAGGTAGTTTGAAAGCTCATTTAACAGTACATTCTGGGGAAAAATCTTACAAGTGTGAAATTTGTTTTAAACAATTTTTTCAGGCAGGTAGTTTGAAAGCTCATTTAACAGTACATTCTGTGGGAAAATACAAGTGTGATATTTGTTTTAAACAATTTTATCATTCGGGTCATTTAAAAAGTCATTTGAGAGTGCACACTGGTGAAAAACCTTACAAGTGTGAAATTTGTTTTAAGCGGTTTTCTGAGGTCAGTTCTTTGAAAACACATTCGAGAGTGCACACTGGAGAAAAATCTTACAAGTGTGAAATTTGTTTTAAGCAATTTGCTCATTCTAGTTCTTTGAAATATCATTTATCAGTACATTCTGTGGGAAAATATAAGTGTGATATTTGTTTTAAGCAATTTTTTCAGGCAGGTCATTTAAAAAGGCATTTGAAAGTGCACACTGGAGAAAAATCTTACAAGTGTGAAATTTGTTTTAAACAATTTTCTCAGGCAGGTAGTTTGAAAGCTCATTTAACAGTACATTCTGGGGAAAAATCTTACAAGTGTGATATTTGTTTTAAACAATTTTTTCACGCAGGTTATTTAAAAAGGCATTTGAAAGCGCACACTGGAGAAAAATCTTACAAGTGTGAAATTTGTTTTAAAAAATTTTCTGTGGCAGGTAGTTTGAAAAGGCATTTGAGAGTCCACAATGGAGAAAAATCTTACAAGTGTTTAAGCAGTGTAACAAGTTTAACAGTGTAAGCTGTTTTCTCGGGCAGATTCTTTAACAACACATTTGAGAGTCCACACTGGAGAAAAAGCTTACAATTGTGAAATTTGTTTTAAGCAGTTTTCTCAGGACCGCTCTTTGAAAAAACATTTGAGAGTGCACACTGGTGAACAATCTTAAAAGTGTGAAATTTGTTTAAGCAATTTTTTCATTCTTTTTCTTTGAAAGCTCATTTAACGGTACATTCTGGGGAAAAATCTTACAAGTGTGAAATTTGTTTTAAACAATTTTCTCAGGCAAGTTCTTTGAAAACACATTTGAGAGTGCACACTGGAAAAAATCTTACAAGTGTGAAATTTGGTTTAAGCTGTTTTCTCGCAAAATATTTTAAAAAAGCACATTTGAAAGTGCACGATGAAGAAAAACAAATCTGACATTTGTTTTAAGCAGTTTTGTTCCCAAGTATTTAATATGAAGCTTCATATGAGATTACGCACTGGAAACATTTCTTTTAAATAATTTGACGTAGCTTATAATTCGAGAGGAAATTGGGGGATGTTGGTGCAGTATAAGGTAACTCAAAATTAACTTTTCTGATTGTGCCAGGTGGACTTCAGCACTTTCAATATAGGAAGCGGAGTTAGGTGGGAGACTATTTTGTAATACCTATGTAATATTAGATAGCGATAGATACAAGTGTAAACTATTGTAATTTGATTTAATTGAAAAGAAATAATAGTTTTTCGATTTTTAATTATACAGGGAATAATAACAGTAATGTCATAGTTTAGAATATATACCCTAGGAAGGAGCCTTTGCTTTTTCAAATAGTTGAAATTTTTTTGTTAAATTAACTTAAGTAAAAAAATAAAATGGATGTTTTGATAAAACCGAAACCAAGCATTTTCTGATAACTCATGTTTATAACACGGCAGTGAATTGAAAACAGTTGATAGAGACCTAAAGAGGTCGAAATACATATAAGCGGCTTGCTGCCGCTCTGTATTGAAACAAAAATCTAGTACCATCTTTATATTTTATTTCTTTACCCCGTATAATATTTGTGTGCTTACTTACTTTATTTTGTATTAATTAATTAATTATTATAAATGAAATAAAACAAGACATCGTTTTAAATTGACGGTTGACACACCTGTCCTTTATTATTCAATAGGCAATTTCTAGCAAATGCCAACATCCAAATGACATCATCATGACATCTCCCTTCCTAAGATAAAATTTCAACATTTGCTAGAAAGGAACACTTAAAGAACTTAGAAGCTAATACAATAACAAAACCATATACACACATTATATGTACACGTATATATAGTTTATACGCTATAACTAAAGTTTAACCCGAATATACAAGCTAATTACTATTACCAAAATACAAAATACATTGTTTACACATTATAAATTAGGTCTAATAGGAGGTTTAACAATTCGCCCAGATCTTGTTCTATAAGGTGTATGCTCAGGCATTACAGTTGAATTATTTATTTCATGATCTGATAAATCTGTATCAGAGCTGGAATAGTGATTAGAACTTACACTTGAATTTAATGAATTTTCAAAAGTGTCACATATGTGTGTAATATTTGCAGAAGGTGCATTATCATATTGAAACTGATTATAACTACATGAAGCTTCACCTGAATTTACATTTTTCAACTCTACTTTTATTAGGTGAGCTCTATTTCTTACTACAATATTATTTTTTCCACATAATCTTATTTTATATGATCTCGGATTAGACAGTTTTTCAACTACTATACCATCTAGCCATTTTTCGTTGCTAAATTCATTAAAATTTTTTGCTTTAACTCGATCATTAATTCTTAATACAGGCCATTCTTTAGTATTTTTATCATAATACTTTTTATACTTATTTTGTCTTTCTGTTAATTCCTTTCGTACATTGTTTTTTACCACTTGTGGTCTCAAATTTGATTTCAACACAGGAAAAGTTGTTCTAACTTTGCGACTATATAGCAATTCAGCAGGACTTGGGACTTTATCTGATATTGGTGTATTCATTAGATCTAGTAGACACAAATAAGGATCTTTATTAGATTTGAATGCCTTTTTTAACATTGACTTTGCAATTTGTACAAATCTTTCTACCTGACCATTGGATTGAGGAAAATGGGGACTAGATGTTTTATGAGAAAACCCCCATTCTGCTGCAAAACGACTGAACTCCATAGAAGAAAAGCAAGGACCGTTATCAGAAAAGACAACTGTAGGGATTCCATCAATTCCGACTTTATCCCAAGGGAGGTCAGGAATGGTGTGAGGCATTAAAGGTTCTTTCTGATTACATTTTCTCTCTGATAGGCAAACATTGCAACACTTCACAACATTTTCTATATCTTGTGACATTCCTGGCCAAAAAAAATATTGCCTAGCTAATAATTTTGTTTTCTGAATTCCTTGGTGTGACATATGTAACTTATCCAGGGTTTCTTCCCTTAGTAGTTTAGGTACAAACAATTTATTATTTTTTACAATTATACCTTGAACTATACTTAGTTCATCTTTAAATGGCAAATATTTTTGAAATTCTTTCTTTATGTATTTACTATCAGGGAATCCCTCTGTAATTAATTTCATGAGTTGTATTAAATGAGGGTCTTCTGCAGTTTGTTTTTGAAACTCTCTAATTTTACAATTTGAAATTGGGAAATTCTCTGTAATGCTCAAAAGTTGTGATTCAATTTCTCTGAATTTATTTTCAAATATTTCATCATATGATTTTGGAAAAGCCCTACTTAAAGCATCAGCAAAAAACATATCCCTACCTTTCTTATAAACAATAGTTAAACTATATGGTTGTAACATGACAAGCATTCTTTGAAGTCTAGCTGGAGCATCTACTAGAGGCTTGTTAAAAACTCCAACAAGAGGCTTGTGATCCGTTTCGATAATCACATCAACACGACCAAAAATATACTGGTGAAATTTTAAACATGCATTAACAATAGACAGCATCTCTTTTTCAATTACTGCACAATTCTTCTGAGTTGGTGTAAAAGCCTTTGAGGCATATGCCACAGGTTTATTATTTTGTAGTAACACAGAACCACATCCAAACTGACTGGCATCTGTTGAAATCACTACAGGACATTGTACTGAGTAAAACTGTAGGATAGGTGCTTCAACTAACAGATTTTTTAATTTCTGAAAAGCAGTTTCCTGTTGGTTTTCCCAATGAAATGAAATATTTTTTCTTGTCAGAAGTCTTAATGGCTCTGTAAGCTCAGAAAAGTTAGGTATGAAACGACATAAATAATTTAAAACACCTAAGAATCGTTGTACATCTTTTGCAGATCTTGGCCTTTGCATTTTAGTAACAGCTTCAACCTTTTTCCCATCAGGTTCCAGACCCTTTTTAGAAATATTATATCCCGTATAATTTACAGAAGCTAACCCAAACTTACATTTATCTCTATTAAATTTTATATTATTTTTTCTAGCAATCTCTAAAACCTGTTTTAATTTTTTATTGTGACCCTCCAGAGTATCAGAATATATTAATAAATCATCAAAATATAACCCTATTTCTACATTTTCAAATAATTGCTGCATTTTCTTTTGAAAAACCTCAGGAGCTGAGGCTATGCCATTTGGCATTCTTAAAAAACAGTATCGACCAAATGGAGTATTAAATGTACCGGGTGGTCCAATAAGCCGATTGCTCGGCTATATATCAGAAACTATTCATGTTATAACTTGGGGAGAAAAAATTCCTTAGTAAAAGTGACCAAAAGAAATCGCTGGAAATAACTTTCAAGTTTCTGGGTTAACCGCTAGGGGGCGTAATCTGTGAAAAAAAATTTGAAAACCAGTTTTTTGTAAAATATGCCCAATTATACCAAGTGTTAAATAAGTGAACTAGAAAGAGGGCTAAATTCCGCATAAAGTTGTTCAAGTACTTTTTTTTTTATTTTTTCAAATAAAGGGGTGGGGGAGGGTGGCAAAGTATTTGTGGATAAATACCTATAACTTTGGTTTGGATCAACCGATTTTAACGAAATTAGTGTCATTAGAAAGAGTGTGGATAATTTAATCTACATCTACTATAAAACAATTGCATTTAATCTTAATTGTCATGGGTAGAGGGTACTTTCAAATAGAAAAAATTAAAATTTGTTTTTCTTTAAAATGTTTAATGGAAACACCTATTTATTGTTAATTATAACTAAACTGGATTAAATTCGTAACAAAATGGCACAAACCGCATGTTGATAGCTTTTGTCAAACTCGAGATATGAATAAAAACGCATAAACATAAGTATAGTATTGACTCACCCTTTATTATAACTTAAAATAAATATGTGAAAGAATATACAAATATGTATCTCGATCATTAAAACTTAATGTCCAATTAAATGTTCAAATTGTTTTCCATCGTTGAACACACAAAGATGTAATCTTTCGCGCGTAGACATAACAGCTGCTTCAATCTTAGCTGTTGATGTATTATTTATTGCGTTTATAATGCGCTGTTTCATGTCATCTCGTGTGGTTGGTCGAGTTTGGTACACTAAGTCCTTCAATCTTCCCCACAGATAAAAGTCCAGACATGTTAAGTCTGGAGATCTAGCTGGCCATGAAAATATACTTCCCCTTCCAATCCATTTATTTGGATAACTTGCATACAAATAATCTCGAACTCGTCTGGAAAAGTGCGCAGGACACCCGTCATGTTGTAGTATCATATCTCTTCCTGTTTGTAAGGAAATATCTTCCAATAAAACAGGCAACTGATTTTTCAGAAAATTCAAATATGTTTCGCCATTTAAAGTTCTATCAAAGAAATATGGACCTACAATCTTTCCATCAACTATACCACACCAAACATTAAGACTCCATCTACCTTGAACCTGCATCTCATGTATCCAGTGCGGATTTTCTTCAGCCCAATAATGCATATTATGCAGATTAACACCACCCGCACTATTAAACGTAGCCTCGTCTGTCCACAAAATCTTTGACAAGATATCCGGTTGTTCTTCTAGCAGACCTAACATCCAATTGCAGTAATCCAGCCTTGCATCAAAATCTCTCTCATGTAAAGCTTGGTGGAGAACTACATGATAAGGATGCAGTCTAAAAAACAGAACAACAAATATTGGTGAAAAAGAAACCACTACATTTACTAAAACTCAAAAATCTTAAAAAATCCAAAATTGTTTCACAAGATAAATCGTGCATAAGTATTTTTAGGAAACGTATAAAAGGATAAAAGCGCCGTGTTGCCGTTTTTATCGGAATATTAAAATAACAGTTGAATCTAAAGTTTAAAGGGAATTCCAAGTTTCTGACCTAAACGTTCACTTTATAGTATGAAAAACCAACCTGTGATGTTTTAAAATCCTTAGAACAGTAGTTTTGGGTATGTTTAATTCTATAGAGATTTGCCGACTACCTATATGTGGATTCTGTTGAATTAAAGCAAGAACATTGATTGAATTATCTTCGGTCATACCTCTACTACGTCGTTTAAAACAAAAAAACTCCAATCATATCATACAATTCTGCATTGGATATACTCATCCTGAATTATCAGTACTGATAATTAATTACTAATATTACCAATATTAATATCTATTGAAAAAGTGCAATCTTCAATTTGAATTATAATATAACACTTCTTAACAATGTTTTGACTGCTGTCAATAAATAAACAATATGATCTCCCCGTCAAATTCATTGTCGTAGCCTACTTAGTTTCGAAAAAACTATTTTTAATCATCTGAAATAACAATGGTCAAAATGGATATCAATATTAAGATTCTTCTGCTATAAAAAAATTTGAAAATACCTACTGACTTATTTTTTAATTTAATTTATAATACAGGGTGAGTCAATACTATACTTATGTTTATGCGTTTTTATTCATATCTCGAGTTTGACAAAAGCTATCAACATGCGGTTTGTGCCATTTTGTTACGAATTTAATCCAGTTCAGTTATAATTAACAATAAATAGGTGTTTCCATTAAACATTTTAAAGAAAAACAAATTTTAATTTTTTCTATTTGAAAGTACGCTCTACCCATGACAATTAAGATTAAATGCAATTGTTTTATAGTAGATGTAGATTAAATTATCCACACTCTTTCTAATGACACCAATTTC